ACAAATTGGGTTAGAAATATGCCATTTTTTTGTAAAATTCGGAAATTAGCGTAAATTTATCACTCTTATTCTCCTTAAAGCAGCTACTTCAGCAATCTATTTTTATATTCTCCTTCACTTTACACTTTACTCGATGAGTTATAACTTTCTTTATAACATTAATATTAAACAATTAATCACAATTTATTAAATAAAACCACCATATGCAAATTAAATGGCGTAGTTCAGCTGTCAAACTCCAAAATATGCAAAAGAATGAGAGACAAAAGAAAATAGAATATAACCCTGAAGCATTAAAAATATACAAAGGTGTTCTCTGCAAAAGGTGTTCAGCTCCTTTTCTTCGCAAAACAGAAAGGAGAATTCTACTGCCTGAGGGTTATAATCCATAAGTGCGGCCGAAGGCCGCCTACGCAGAAAGTTGGTCTCTGCAAAAGGTGTTCAGCCCCCTTCTTTGGCTACACAGAAAGGAGAATCCTACTGCCTGAGGGTTATAATCCCTAAGTGCGGCCGAAGGCCGCCTACGCAGAAAAGTGTTCGCTGCAAAAGGTGTNCAGCCCCCCTTCTTTAGCAACACAGAAAGGAGAACTCTACTGCCTGAGGGTTATAATCCCTAAGTGCGGCCNTTTCATACTTCCTTCTAAACAAAATTTGCTTTTTTATAGTATATTCGCCATGAAATTAAATAAAAGGGTACGGTTTAGTACGTTGCCGATCTATTTCGAGGTATTGCGTCCAAAGGGGTGACCCGATCCAAAAAAAAATTTGCACACACTTGTAGCCAAGGGTCTAAATATTATTTTAACACCCTTTTTTGTAATTTTTGGTCACTAATTTATTTACAAATTGGGTTAGAAATATGCCATTTTTTTGTAAAATTCGGAAATTAGCGTAAATTTATCACTCTTATTCTCCTTAAAGCAGCTACTTCAGCAATCTATTTTTATATTCTCCTTCACTTTACACTTTACTCGATGAGTTATAACTTTCTTTATAACATTAATATTAAACAATTAATCACAATTTATTAAATAAAACCACCATATGCAAATTAAATGGCGTAGTTCAGCTGTCAAACTCCAAAATATGCAAAAGAATGAGAGACAAAAGAAAATAGAATATAACCCTGAAGCATTAAAAATATACAAAGGTGTTCTCTGCAAAAGGTGTTCAGCTCCTTTTCTTNTTGGTCTCTGCAAAAGGTGTTCAGCCCCCTTCTTTGGCTACACAGAAAGGAGAATCCTACTGCCTGAGGGTTATAATCCCTAAGTGCGGCCGAAGGCCGCCTACGCAGAAAGGGGTTCTCTGCAAAAGGGGTGTTCAGCCCCCATTCTTTGGCTACACAGAAAGGAGAATCCTACTGCCTGAGGGTTATAATCCCTAAGTGCGGCCGAAGGCCGCCTACGCAGAAAGGTGTTCTCTGCGAAAGGTATTCAGGCCCCCTTCTTTCGCTTGATAACCACCTTGTGATAACTTCTTTTATTTAAAAAACCCCACAGATTCTGTTTGTTGGGTTATATTCCACTTCAAACTGCTCAATTTCCCCCGGTAAATGCTGGGGGGGTCGGGTGCGACTTTTCGTAAAGCGGGGGCTGTCCCCTTTCGAATGGGGGGATNTATTTAAAAAACCCCACAGATTCTGTTTGTTGGGTTATATTCCACTTCAAACTGCTCAATTTCCCCCGGTAAATGCTGGGGGGGTCGGGTGCGACTTTTCGTAAAGCGGGGGCTGTCCCCTTTCGAATGGGGGGATTTAGGGGACCACGCCACCTCCACCTCCGCCCCCTTCCCCCAAATCGACCGGCAAATAACTAAAAATTTCCCAAATAAAATAAGATAAAAGACTTTTTTGAGAAAACAAAATGTGTATACTGAAAAAAAAATAAAAACAAAAATTAACTATATTGTTAGGCAAAGAATTGTTAAAGTAGTAGCACTGTTTCACATAAGGCAATCAATATGGCGGAATTAGAGCGAGAAGTTGCCAACTGATAACACCTTGTATTATTGCATCATGAATTTATACACGGTGGTCAAGGCGAATTAATATAAGGTGATAGCAAGAATACAAAAACAAAAATTTACATGTATTTTGTTATTGCCTTGGCGGCATAAACTGCCAAAATCTGTAAGAGTGTGTGTAGAAATTCAAACAAAATTTTTCAATTTGACATCAGAAGCCGTGCGGCTAAACACATACACAAAATCAGCTGATCTAGTACCACCACCAGCGTTGCCGAAAGCTTTTGCTGAAAAATCGTCAATTTACCCTGAAAAAATCGTAATTTCGGCCAAAAATGTAAAATTTTTGCTTATTATACTTTTTTAACAAAATAGAAAATAGAAACAAAATTACATAAATTACATACAATACTGTGTTCGTATGGAAAAGTAGCTTATGTCGAAAGGCTGGCTTTAGTATAATGCGGCAATCCCTTTATTTTTTAAACGGCAAGGAATTTTTTGTTGAGACTTAATAAGAATATTGACTTGCTAGTATCGGAACTATTTCTTCCACGTTTATTTGCCAAAAGTTGTTCAACATCTTATCGCCAGTGAGTCATTCGCAATCGTATGCTGTGAATGCCGATTTATACTAAAGCCAGCCTTTCGACATAAGCTACTTTTCCATATGAACACAGAATAAATATGACCACACATGCATATGGTTTATAAAAGTGGATTTGTAATTATTAACGACAATTTTAAATTACACTCTAAAACAAAACTGCTTTTAAATTGTTCAACTCCATTGGTTTGAAGTTTTTGAAGATTTTGATCCAGTTTTAAAGTGTAAAATTAGCATTTTTTAACTGATAGATAATCTTGACTGAAAAAATTCCCTCTGCTATTTGTCCGTCTCTTTCAAGTCACTGGTTTAAAGTTTTTCAAGATTTTGATTTAATTTTACAGTGTAACATTAGCATTAATTAACTGATAGATAATCTTGACTGAACAAATTCCCTCTGCTATTTTTCTGTCTTTGAAATCAGTGTCAATTCTAGAACAAATTTAATACAACTAAAGCACGGTTGTAGAACAAAACTAGACAAATGCAAAAAATTTTTTACATACATATATACATTAGACTGCATCACTCCCCATACAAAAAAAAATCGGTACTATTTTTCCATTGGAATTATAAAACCTGCTATATTTTAAGACGTCCACCAAAATATTTCTGAAAAATATTAAGATTTAAGTGAGCTGGACCGATTTGAAAATATCTCCAAAAATGATTTTTTTATGAATAAAAATAGTTTCTTAAAGATTTTTTTTTTTTTAAATCCCGTCAAATGACAAAACGTTTTAAGCTTAAAAAATTTGCATAAAAATATTAAGAAAAAATTAAAAAAAAAATTAACGGAATCGTAATGATGAGATTTTTGGTGCTGTTTTTTAACATTTTTCAAAGATTGGTATAAGAAAAACTTGAATAACTGAATCTAAGCTCTTCCGATTTAGACTTAAGAGGTGTCATTGGAAAGGTATTTTCTCACCCTTTGCATTTATTTTCTAATAAACTCATCCAAAGGCTGAAAGAGGAAGGTAGGATGAACGAGTGTCATTCCAAGTTGAATTAAGATGTTTTGGTATTCGAAAAAAAAGATGGGACACGAATGACGTTTCTTTTGGCCAGAAATAAAAACGGTGTGAAAATACCTTTCTACTGAGATACCATAAGTCTAAATCAGAACATTTTTGGCCCAGTTATTCAAGTTTTTCGTAAATCAATCTTTGAAAAAAGTAAAAAAACAGCATCACAAATCTCATTCTTACGATTCCGTTGAAAAGACTTTTAAATATTTGTATGCAGATTTTTAAGCTTATTCTAATTTGTCATCTGAGGGGACTTTTTTCAAAAAGTTCTTTAAGAAACTATTTTTATTCCAAAAAAACTCCAATTTGGAGGTATTTTCAAATCGGTCCAGCTCACTTAAATCTTAATATATTTCCGAAATATTTTGGTGGACGTCTTAAAATATAATAGATTTTGTAATCCCGGCGGAAAAACCGCTACTTTTTTTGGTGATGCAATCTAATATACATATATGGAAAAGCTAAAATAAAAAAACGTCATTACGGGGGGAAAAATCGTCAAAACGTCATTGAGCTAAGGGCTAATTTCACAGTGCGTAGTCAACTCAGAATCGGCAGTCAACTACAGATTTTTAGTACAAAAATCTGTAGCTCGTTTTTGTAACAATTCTCTACCAAGACGAATTGAGATATGAATTCGCCGCCCTGTTCTCTACTGCTAATTAGTAGGTGAGAATGACGTATTTTCTCTACCAGTAGAGAAATAATCGGTAGAGAAAAGTTACAGAAACGGGCTACTGTACTTAACTGCCGATTCTGAGTTAACTACGCAAAATGGAATTGGCTTTTCGTTGCGGTACTTATTAATGTCAAAATGATGTGTTTGTTGTAGACAAGGCGAATTCATATTACAACAAACACACTATTTTGACATTAATAAGTACCGCGGCGAAAATCTAAATTCGCCATCACCACCACCTTGTAACTATAAATTCGTCTTGAATCGTCAATTCGGCACAGCAGCCTTGAACACCACCTTCAAGGCGAATTTATATAAGGTGGTGTTCAGCGTTGCCGAATTGACGATTTCCATGATGCAATAATACAAGGTGTTATCGGTTGGCAACTTCTCGCTNACTATAAATTCGTCTTGAATCGTCAATTCGGCAAGGCAGCCTTGAACACCACCTTCAAGGCGAATTTATATAAGGTGGTGTTCAGCGTTGCCGAATTGACGATTTCCATGATGCAATAATACAAGGTGTTATCGGTTGGCAACTTCTCGCTCTAATTCCGCAATGTTGACTGCCTTACCTGAAACAGTATTACTTCTTTAACAATTCTTAAGCGCTGGTTATACTAACATAGCAAGGCAGGGCATAATCAAGTAGCGCATGTGAAACAGGGGAGTGGTTATACTCCGCATATCGCACATTATATTTCAAAATCAGCTGTTTGGGAAATATCGATTTATTAATTAATTTGTTTTCTGACAGGAAAAGTTGTTCAAAGAGTAAGTAACTAATTTGGCAAATTAAGTACACTTAATAATAATTAAACATACTCCTACAGGTGTTTTCTTGATTAATACACCATGTGGCCTGATGGACAAATGGAAGAAGACTTCCTCGATTTGGCATTTTTAAATATTTGCCGTCTTCAACAGAAACGGCAAGAATCGAGGCGAGTACGGCGCTGGGCGGTTCATCCAGTAAATGGGGATCGGAAATTGAATGGATACTTTAGGAAAGTGTTCTGGAAATGCAAATCCCACGACAGCAAGATTTTTCGTTTAACCAGGATGAACCGCCCGGTTTACGATTTATTCCAAACGTTGCTAAATCCGTTTCTGGAAAGACCCAAGAAACAAATCTCTCCAGAAGAGCGCCTTGCGATAACACTGATGTAAGTTAAAGGCGAATGCTAGATATTCTTTACATTATAATAACAATTTTTTTTTGTAGGTACCTCGCACATGGAACGTCGTTCGAAATCGTCGCTTCAATGCACAAGATGGGAAAAACAACTGTTCGGAATATTGTGTTAGAGACCTGCGAGATTATATGGACCACTTTGTCTCCAGTATATCTCAGCGAACCCACTTTGGCGCAATATAAAGACATTGCGGACGACTTTTCCAGAATGTGGAATATGCCAAATTGTGTAGGAGCCATTGACGGGAAACACATAGCCATCACTTGTCCGAAGAATTCTGGCTCGCTGTACTTTAATTATAAAAAATTGTATAGTATAGTTTTAATGGCTACCTGCGATGCCAAGTACACATTTACATCCGCTAGCATTGGAAGCTTCGGAGGACAAAGTGATGGAGGTAACACAAAAATATTTTAAAGGAATTGGCATTTACTCATTTTAAATTTGTTTGTTTTATTTCAAGGTGTTTTCCAGCAAACAGCATTTGGACGGGCGCTGCTGAGCAATAGTTTGCCACTACCACCAAAAACGCCGTTATGGAGAGGATCGACGGAAGAATTTCCACATTTTTTTGTCGCCGACGCGGCATTCCCACTGAAGGAAAATTTAATGCGGCCATACCCTGGCGTACAACTAACTCGCAGCAAAATAGTCTTTAATTACCGATTGTCGCGAGCTCGTCGGGTAATTGAAAATAGCTTCGGGATTTTAACTGCTCGCTGGCGTGTCCTTCGAAAAGTCATCGATTGTAGTCCGGAGAACTGCGAAAAGATCGTTTTAGCGTGCTTGGTTTTGCACAACTTTGTAATGCTAAACGATCTAAAACGATGGTACTGTCCAGAAAATTTCGTAGACACAGATGACCCAGAACAAGTGACAACAAATGGAGAATGGCGCCGTGATCTGGAGGATCTGGGTGGTCCATTGACCTCGATAACGTCAAATCGACGTAATGCAANTCCGTCCCTTTTCAGCAAAATGTTCATTCATGCATACGTATTATTAATATTCCCATTAGTATTATTATTATTATATAAACAAACCCATATATTTAAATCAAAACCAAAAAAAATCCGTTTAAACCAGTTTCAAATTGTTTATAAAATTAAGGAGAATTTTACAAATTTTCATCAAAATTTAAAACTTTTTACTAAGATTAAAAAAAATACGGTATGCAGTTTTATAGCCCATTCAATTTTAGTATAATAATGTACACATTTGCAGTGGGTAAGAAATTGCGTTGATTTTAAAAAATTTTTTTTTGCTGACGGCTCTAGAATTTTCAGCCTCATTGCGAGAGTCGTGCCGAATGCAAGTCGTTTTTCGAGAGTCGAATCGTATCGACAATTTAGCGTCATTGCCTAAAATTTCCACTCGACTAGTGTATTAAAACGGAAGAACTTGGCAGCACTGCATAGTTTTCGACAATTTTCGTCGTTTACTTATTTCAGCACGACAGTAGACAATGCTAATGTTGTCGAGTCGTACAATGCAGCCTAATTTACGACTTACGCAATGAGGCTGTTTATTTCTTATAAAGAAAACTTCGCTCAAACCTTGTATAGAAAAAATGCCTAGAAAATAGTTTCTTATATGGGAAAAAAGCATAACACCGTCAGAAAAAAAATATCAAAAATCAATGCGATTTTTTAGCAACTTAAAACTGTCCCTTTATTATACTAAATTTCAATAAGCTTTAAACTGCATACTAAAAAATAATTAAGAAATTCGAATGAAAATGCCAGCGCCTAGTACATTGTTCCTCTATGATTATAATATAGTATTTTAGTTAAAATATGCACATAAAAACAGTTTTACCAACCTGTTGCTCCCAACTCTCGTGCGATGCTTGTCCACGCCGCCCTCTTCCTCTCGGGCAATCTATAAGAAATACAAGATTTCTTGTAAATGGCTTCATTTGCCCGCACTAAATCCACCAGCCTCTCGTCGTCAATCATTCTGAAATTAAAAAAAGAAGAACAATTCAATTAAAATTTAGTATTTTTCACAAATAATTTCATACTTACATTTGNGAATGCGAATGTCACATAGCGAAAAATCAAAATTCTCCAGACTTCGCTGTCATGTTCTGTCGTGCGCTGCGTCGTATAATCGCTTGTATGCAAAGCTTATTAAACAGATTCGATATGTGATAGAACTTATGTTGTGCGCTGCAGCACAATGTAAGTATAACCAGCGCTTTAGCCTAATAATATAGTTGAATTTTTTTTATTTTTTCTCTGTATACACATTGGCGCATAGTCATAGACAAAAAATGAAGTATACTTTAGTTAATCATATACTTAAGTTTTAAAGTGTACTTTAATTTTTCGGCTACCATAGTCGCATTATTAGTAAACACCGACTTTAGTACTATTTAGTACAAATCTATTACGAAATTTGCCCAGCTGTTTTTTGTTTACATCAACATGGCCAGTTTAGAGAAGGTAACGTATTTTTTAATTTTTTAACAAAAAAGTGGAAAATATATAATCTGGAACATTGTTCCATTTCCGTAGGACACCAAAAGAGACCGGGAGCCTAACTGGACTGCCATCGAGAGAGAAATGCTGAGGGAATGCATCAACAAGCATGTTCGTGTTGTTGAACATAAAGGCAACGACGCGAGCATGATTTTGAAGAAGAAAGAATCTTGGAAGGACATACATAGGTGCATGTTGGCTGCCGGCTATGACAGAGGAATTGCAAAATTGAAGCAGCAATGGGTGCGGATGAAAGAGTCGGCAAGGAAATCGGTTTCGCATGTGCGAAAGACGTCGCTTGCCACTGGGAATTGTGTGCCTGTGTCTAAACTGTCTGAAGAAGACGACGCGGTGTGCGGCATGATTGAAGCCGAATTCCTGGAGGACGACATACTAATTGATTGTGACACTGCATCAATTGAATTGAATGAGCCGGAGAAAGATGATGATTTGGACTGCAGTATGCCATCCAATTCAAACGATAGCTGCAAAGGAACAGCCGGTGATGTCCAGCCGACAACAAGCAAGGCAGCTTTCTCCCACATCAACCGCTTGCGCAACCTTCCCAAAAATACGAAGGTAAACATTATTGAAGAAAGGCAGCGGCAAATTGCAATGGAAGCCGCGCAATTGGAAGAAATGCATTTGCTTAAGAAAGAAAATGCAAAAGCTGAACTTGAGCACCAGTGCAGGACGCATAAAAAAAACGAAGAGTATTTGGAGTTAAAATGTGAGCTTTTCACTTCACTTAGTTCGTTATTGCCTGGAAATCTTATGAAGTGTGGTAACAATAGCGCAATCCTTTTAGAAATGCTCTTTATTATTCTCCCAACCGTCGTTTGTGACATTCCATGGAGATCGGCTAAGAGATAAGTAAAAAAACGTTAATTTAATATCCACGTTTTAAGTAGTTGGTGGCTGCTATGTTACTAACCAATGTCACTTTGATGCACATTCCTGCCAAGGAAGCGTAGAGTTGTCAGTATTTGCAAGCTTATTGTTATTGGAAGTCCCCTATTGTTCCTGGGCTGCTCAATATTGAGAACATCGATCAAGAAATTGACAGTGACCTTATCAAATCGATATCGCTCATAGAAATCTTATTCCTCCAGCTGAAAGGGGTGATAGCGTTCTTTGTAAAATTTTCGAT